AAATGTTCCTCATACGTTCTGGACATTAGATCCTTGTCAGATACGTGGTTTACAAATATTTTCTCCCATGCTGTGGGTGGTCTTTTCACTTTCTGGATGCTATCCTCTGATGCACTAAAGTTTTTACTTTTATGAATTTATCTAATTTTTTCCTTGTTGCTTCTGCTTTAGGTGTCACTTTAGGAAACCATCGCCTGCCCTGATGTCAAAGACTCTAAAGTGTCACTGTTTCAGCTCTTACTTCTAGGTTTATTATCCACTTTGAAGTTTTTGTTGCTTTTTCCCCCCAAGGGGATATCTAGTTGATCCAGCACCACTGTTTGAAGAGACTGTTGTTTCTCCATTGTCTTATTCTAAAGCCACTGAAAAAATCAACCAATCATAAATTCACGGGTTTGTTTCTGGACTCATTATTCATTTCTTTTTTTTTTTTTTTCTGGTGGAGAGAACACTTGAATCAGACTCAGGAACCCAGGCTTGCCAGGCAGGCACTGTGCCACTGAACTAAATCCATGGCCCCAGGATTCGTTATTTTATGACCTAAGTCTACTCTTATGCCATTTCCATTCTGTCTTGATTACAGTTGCTGTATAATGAAATTTGAAACGGATTTTGCTCTTTTCTTCCTTAAGGTTATTGTGGGTCCCCTTACATTTCCACGTGATCAACAGGGTGGCTGGAATTTTTTATTTTTTGTGGGGTTGAGACATGGTCTTGATCTGCAGTTCAAGTTTACTTTGAACTTACTTTGTGGCCAGGCTGGCCTCAGACTCATGATCCTCTTGCCTCAGTGCTGGGATTATCGACAGGGTACTACACCCGATGTGGCTGGAAACTTAATAGGAATTGTGCTGATTCTAAATCAATTTGGGGAGTACTGTCCTTGTCACATGTGACATTTTCAACTCCAGGAACCCATGATGTTTTTTCATTTACTTGTCTTCTTTATTTTAATGGTGTTTTGTAGTTTATAGTATATGATATCTAATATCGACTCAATTTTTTACTTCTAAAACTTTTAATATATAAATATTGGATCACCTGAATTTTTATGTATTTTAGAGATGGGGTCTCACTATGTTGCCCAGCCTGGCCTCAAACACCTAGGCTCAAGTCACCCTCCTCCTACCTCAACCTCCTGAGCAGCTGGGACTACAGGCACATACTTCTGTACCTAGTCATATATATATTTTTCTTTCACTTCTTTATCTTTTGCTTTACACTCTGGAAGGATTCAAGGTGATCTTGTAATTCCCTAAGTCAGTTTTCCACTGACTTTTACATCAACTATTTCTAGTCTTTTAAATATTCATCTACTTTTAGTTTTATTATTTATTCATTTATTTATTTGGGTATTTTGAGACAGTGTCTCATTATGCAATTCAGGCTAGCCTTAAACTCATTGTGTAGCCCAGGCTGGTCTCCAACTCACAGCAATCCTCCTGCCTCAGCCTCCCAAGTGCTAGGATTACAGGCATGTGCCTGGTTCATCTACTTTTAAATTTCCAAGGATATTCTAGTTTGCAGACTGTTCTCTTCACAACAACCTGCCTTTGTTACTCTGTCACTAAGAGCTAGAGATTCAGCAAGTTTTCTCCTACTTTCTACATTAAACTTTTTTCAGTGGGTGATGTTTGCTCTAACTTGGTCTTCTATTTATGGACTCTCTATTAGTGATATTTCAGTGAGTGGAAATCTAGGTTATTCAGCACTGCTAAATGGCAACACATCTGGAATTAGAGAAAACTCTGTCTCTTCACTGGTTCCGAGCCGCTGAGGATGGTGGTATTAGATTGATGGTCAATTCCCTACAGTGAATGGGCTGTGAGTGGAAAAGTACTAGCTTCTTCCTTCGGTGGATACGGCTGGTTATGGTGGGTAGAATGCAGAGTCACCGAGCCTCAAACCTGATGTTGCAAGAAAGAGGAGACAGAGAGGAAGCAAAAAATACATAGTATTTGGAGCTTTTCCAAGGAAGAACTTGGGGTGTGAAGAGTAACACATGGAATTCAACTGAAGGAAACACAGAGGTGCTAAGTATTCAGGGAACCCTATGTCCAAATCAGACACAAACCTAGCTTTCAAAAAAAACAAAAACAAAACCCCTCTTATCTGTAAAAGAACCTTCAGACTCCACACTTGTACCAGCAGGAAATGACTGGAAACTGTGATGTCTTTCAAGAAGATTACATCCCAGTGTCCACTTCTGACCGGGCCAAGAAGGAGAATGGATGAGGAGGAATAGTCCAGAGTACAGAGCCAGTGGCCAAAGAAATGATTGTAAAGTAGGCGGGGCGGGGAGGGGTGTCTATCCTGGAGAGGAGAACCAGGGTATAGATAGCTCTAGAACTCCCCACACCACCAAGCACAGGATTTTTGCAATAACTATTTAGAAGGATTCTAGCAGGTACACAGACTCTTCACTGAACTTGGAGCTATAATGGTGTATCTCAGTGGAAGCATTTGGAAATCAGTAAAGTGGAAGAATTTACAACGATAACAGTTAACGTTTAATAGTGTTTCAGACACTAAAGCATTGTTCCCGTTCACATAGCAACTCCCTGAAGAATGCAGTATTATGATGTGCTTTTACCAATACGGATGCTGAGATAGTCTGGTGCCTTGGATAAGACTGCATGAGGCTGGGGATATAGCTCAGTGACACAGTGTTTGCCTAGCAAGGGGGTGGTCCTGAGTTCGATTCCCAGAGCCTAGATTTAAAACTATGGTGTCTATGTCCAAAGTATTCACTCTAATCCCAACCATAGATGTCTTTTGGGCCTAGTGAGAAATATACAAACCCGAAAGAGGAGAGAAGGTGAATGTGTTATATCTAACAGAGGTGACATTGAACTACTTTGTCTACCAGGAGGTAGACAACTATTACTAATTTTTAACCTCATTAGGGACTCATCTTGTTTTCTGATGAGTCACCAGCACTACTGGTGCACTAAACCACCTGGCTCACAGTAGGTGCTCAATAAATATTTGTTGAGCGAGGAAGGAAGGAATTCCAGAATCCTGCCTGCCAGCCTAAGGTCCTTGAGCTGCTTGGCCACATTTGCTGTGACAGCTGCAGAGCATTGTGCTCACACTCAACAAATGGTCCTTGAACTAAATGGAGGGAAACCTGGCGCTGTGTTTTCACTGTAAGGCTGTGCATTATTCACAGCTTCCTTATCTTTAACATGGAAGGCCTTCCTCCCCCATGCCCCAACTCTGCATTCTTTGTGAGGGATTTGTTTCAAAAGCTTCTCACCTACTATCACTTCTTTATTTTCTCCAACTTCTCATGAGCTTGCTTTATACATGTGAGTGAACTTGGAATCTCAGGGTTTTACTTACTGCCCTTTCTAGTGTATGGTCCGTTATCCTGATGAGAGTTTGCGAGGAGATGTCGGATTTCTTTTTAATCTGTACCTTTCCATGTTGCAGTTTTTAAAAAAACTGACTTCATTTACTAAGTTTATATTGTGCAGAAGATTCAGGATCTAGTGGTGATTGAGAAAGTCACGTTTCCTGACCTCACTGCACTTTTTAAAAAATTTCAAAAAAAAAAAAAAAAAAGAGAGAATCACAAGAGACATCCATCCTGTTGGAAACACTTTAACGGGCTGGAGATTTAGCTCAGCGGCATAAGTGCCTGCCTTGCCAAGTGTGCGGTCGTGAGTTTGATCCCTGATACCGATTTTAAAAAAAAAAGTTTCTCTGTGTTTTTAAAGCACAGACAATAGGGGTTCAATTGTAAAACAACAGAAATATTTCAGCTTCTCAAGCCCACAGGGGAAGCAATTAAAAACATTTAATGCAGGGGACAGGGAGAGACAGAGAAGAGACAGCCAGAGAATGTAAGCAATCCACAAACAAATCTCTCATTTTTGTAAGTCAGAAGTGAACTATGCCTTCATTATATTCTGGTGGTGACTCCAACTTCCAGGCAATTCTTTCTGCATCGACCAAAAGAAAAAAGCAGATAAATGTACTCGCTTCTGGGGAGAAAATGTTAAAAAGTAAGACAAGCAAACCAAAGTCCTGATTGTGTAATGCTGTCTTTAAACTATAATTGAAAATGACGCCCTAGTACTTGACAACGATACCAACCCGCCCGGGGGTGGGCACCGGGGTGCCCTCCCCACTCTCATGGACACGCTGAGTTCACTGGAGCCATCTACACTGCGCCAAAGACACAAAGAATAGGTCAACTTTTCTGTACCTAGATGTTTTCACTCCTCCAGCATGGAGCTGCTTCCTCCAGAAGGTGTTGTCATTTGTGGTAATAATTACGGTTTAAGAAAATGCAATTACATCTCCACCAACGCCGTCAGCTGTGAACAGCGGAGCGACGTCTGCCACTTCGGGCCGCAGCATCCCTGAAGGGCCAGGACGCCTGCCCCTACAGCGCCCGTCAGGGTCCCGGCCCGCCGAAGGCCCTGGGCTCGGGCGGTTCCGCACAAGTCAGGGGTCGCCGCGTCCGCGGGCCGGGCCGGGCCGGGCCGGGCCGGGAGCTGGAGGCCTGCTGACCCACGAGGCGCCCAAGTCCGCTCCGGCCCGTTCCCGGGGTTGTTCGGTTTTGCCCGCGCCTGCCCCCGCCCTGCCCCCTGGCATGCGAGAGGCCAAGGTTTGGGGCCCAGCAGTGCCCGGCTGGGCTCGCGCTCGGGCGCTTCAGCCGCCGTGCAGGGACAGGGCGAGCCGTCGCGTAGCGCGCGGGGGCGCTCAGCGAACCGGCGCGGGTCGGTCAGAAAATCATCGCCTTTCTGGCCGCCCGTCGGCAGCGCCGGGGCCGGCCTCCGCCCGGGGACCCCGCACGCCCCCGCCTCACACCGCGCCGCGGCCACACACCGTCCGCGCGCCGGGGCGCCGAGAGGGAGGCGCGAGGACCGCGCACCTGGGGAGGCGGCAGGGGAGCGCGGGGACGCGGGAGCCCGAAGGCCGCTGACTCGCGGGCGCCCAGCCGTGGGAGGACGGAGGCGGGCGGGGGAGGGCCGGGCGGGAGGGGCAGCACCTGAGGAATCCGCCTCCGGCCGCGGCCGCCGCCTCGCTCCGCCCCGGGGACCTGAGCGCGCGGCCCGCGCGCCTGCCACAGAGACGCCAGCCGCCGGCGGCGCTAGCACCTCGGAGGAGGCGACGGAGCCCGCGGAGCGCAGCGCCGCCCGGGAGCGGACTGGGGGTGGGGAGAGCAGCCCGGCCGCGGCGAGGCCACCCCGGTCCTCGGCCCTCGCGCCCGCCAGGCCAGGTGAGCGGCCGGGGTCCCCGGGACGCGGGCGGAGCGGGGGGCGCGGCGCGCGCTTCTCCGGCCGGCGGAGCTGCAGGGTGACGGGCTGGACTCCCTGCCCGCGCCGGGCAGCGCTCGCCGTTTCGGGAGGATCGGGAGGGCGCGCAGCGGTGGCGGAGGCGGGCGCCCGTGCCAGCTCCCAAACGCGCCCGTTCTCGCCCACGGCTTTGCGCCTGCCCACCGGGGGGACCCGGCCCGCGCTGCCGCTCTCGGAGGCCGGAGGCCTGTCACCCCGCTCGCTCGCTGCCTTTGTGGCGGGAGCCGGGCGGCCCGGGCTTGGGGTGAGGCAGGCGGCGGCGAGGGGGCGCAGCCGTTCGGTGCCCGAGTCCCGGGGTCCCTCGGAGCGGGCAGAGGGCAGTCGGGAGCCGTGAGGGTGACGGGCAAGGGGATGCACAGAGCTGGGCTGGGAAAGTTGCGCGCGTCCCGAGGTGACCGGGAGTCCGCGCAGCGTCCGCAGGTCCCGCTCTTCCACGCCAAATGTCACTTGGTCGCAAGCGCGCGCGCACGCAGGTCCCGGCCTTTATTCCCATTTCTCCCGTGAGAAGCTGAGGACGAGACACAAAGGCTCGTGTTGACAGCTGACCCTGACACAAGCAGACAGCGGGGTAAAGTGTGCGCGAGCCAGGCCGAGTGATGATGGGCAGTTTGTTACAGCGCATCGATCCCCGCGGTCTCTCATCAGCTCCATTGAAAGGGAATTATTTGTATAGATTCAGCGCGCGGGGTTTCTCAGTGAGCCGAGCCCAAGTAACGTCCCAACCGCGATTGTCTGTCCAGGCAGCCTCTGCCTCCAGCCGAGGCGCCCGGAGCCTGGAGGGGACCCCTCAACCGATCCCTCTCTCCGGTGAACGAGACCTCTCCGAGGTCCCTGTCCACCCTGTCCAGGGCTCTGTCCCCTGTCCCAGCGAACAAGAAACCAAATTTATTTTCCGCTCCTCGCCCCTCCTCCTCAGAGATGAGAAACTCCATTCAAATGCCATTTAAAACCTAGCCGTTTAAAGAGGGGCGAGAGCGTTTTCTTTTTCAGAGTGTTGTGAACTGAATGCGCCTTACAAACCTCTCACGCCCCCCTTCGTCTTCTTAGATTTTAAATCCTGGAGTTTCGAGGCCCTGCTGGTTCTTTTTCTTTGTGCACATTTCTGAGATTTTGCAAATTTCAGTACTAAAAACGTATCTAATAGAAAAATAGTTGTTTGACAGTAAATAAAATTGCATGCACATAGATGTGCATTGAAAAAGGAAAATTTTAATGAATATGGAAAAAGTAATGTGAATAGGATAAATTTTTTACAGTGCAGGTTAAGTTCTCTTTCTCATCCCATGCCCCAAATCCTACTTCTTCCTACCGCAACCAGAGTTGTAAATTTCTTGGACATGGATCCTCCCATAAATGCCTATTAAAATGGAATACATTATGGAAATCAGGGATGAAAGGAACTGAATATAAAGCTGAACTATATATTAATGGTGGTGGCTTAATTTGATTCCCACTCATGATGACATTATAATATTTCATTTGGCTTAGAGTTTCTGGAATCATTACCTTGAAAATCAGTTAAAGTGCTAAACATCTTAGAACAAGCTATCCTTGCTCTCCACCCACCGGTTTCTTTTCTCTGCTTTTTATAAGCTTTGTTGAATTTTTCATCCGTCCTAGATCTCTGCAGTAGGGAGTGAGAACCGGTTTATTCCGTCTACTGCAGTGTATCAGAAACACTCAAAGGACATATATGTCCCTCCATAATGAGAGAATAGTACAAACACTGCAGAAATCAGGACGAAGAGGTAGGCCAAGTCTAAGACATTTGGCCGCGTGTCTTAGTTGCAGGCCTGGATTTGCCATCGACTGGCCACACTAAGTCACTTTTTTAGAAGTGCTTTTGTCCCTTCCACCCCCCGCCCAGGTATATGGTTTTTAAGGATCTTTCAACTTTAGAATTCTACTATTAAAATGATTCCAAAGGTATCCTAAAACTGGTTAAGGATAACCCAGTTGGATTGCAGATATTTGACAAAAAGAAAAAAAAAATTCCTGAATGGTAGATTCCTAAAGAGGAGGTTAGAGACGTTTAACCTAGGTTTCTCCTCTTATCAGTTTGATATCACTGGAGAACAGCCTCTGATTTTCCCACAAAATGTCTACTTATCGTGTCAGTAGAGACCAACCTCTGGGCTTTGCTTATCACCTTGTGTAGTTAAGGAGGGCGAATTCTCTTCACAATGTAGGGTGCCAATTTTAGGGAAATGTCTCCTACCAAACACTTTTCTTTTTTGATAAAGTGGAAATAAAGTTCATTTGTTCAAAGAGACTCAACATAATTAGTAATTCTCAGACATGTTTAGATGATGAGAACCCCTTACCACAAACTATTTTAGTTGCTTTATAAACATTCACTCAGAGACCAGCAGAAAACTTTCCTAATCTCTAAAATATCTACAGCCTTGAGGCTAATGATTCCTGGATGTGCAGGAGTCAAGGAAAGATTACAAAATTGTGAAAGTTAAAAGAAAATTGTTAATTTGGGTCACTAATTTTGGATTTCAAAGGATTTAAAAGTATACTGTAGTGCTCATATACTAAAAGGTATACTGTAAATGATGGTTGCAAAATTCATTGATATTAAACAGAGATCTAGTGATAGACTAGTGATAGAAATATATAATTACTTTGAATGGGTCTGTGTTATAGTAAAAGACAAATAGTCTGAATTAGGGTAAAATCTAAAAGGTTGTTTGGGGTAAGAGAATTGAAAGAATAGATTTGTAAGAGTGCTTCATTTACTGACAAAACTGACAAAAACAAAAGCAACGGTGGTGAAAATTTTCTAAAATGGCAGTAATTTTAATTTTTTTCCAGCTTCCTTCCCAGTCTTGCAGTAAGGATGTATATTTTTATAGACATCATATTGCAGATACAGTTTTTATTCTGAGTTCTTATAAATATTTTTCAATGGCTTACTTCCTATTATAATAATATAGAAAAGTTTGTGTAGGGGCTGGGGATTTAGCTCAGCGGCATAAGCGCCTGCCTTGCAAGCAGGCAGTCGTGAGTTCGATCCCTGGTACCCATAAAAAAAAAAAAGATAAAAAAAGAAAAGTTTGTGTAATATATCCTATAATTTACTTAACACTTCCTGTTTGGAGTTTTCCAGTGTTTTTGAAAAATATGGTGAGTGTAACCTTTCTACTTTCCTTTTTTCTTTTTAACATTCTTAGGATTGTTTTCATAGAGAAGCAGGAGAATGTAGCTGTAAATGAATGGGCTCTAAAATCAGAAGTTCCATGTTCAAACCTAACTCTATCACTTACTAACAATACTGGACAATTGACTTCTTTTCTTAGAACTTTAAGTTTCTAATCTGTAAAATGGGTATAGTAATAGCTCCATACAAATTTGTTAAAGTAAAAGGCAATAACACATGAAAATACATAGAAATGTTGGTTTTTAAATTTTTTATTAGGAAATTTCCAGATTTCTGAGAATTTCTAATTGCTTTCTAAGTGGGTGATAAAATTTGTACTGTCTGCAACAATTTATATGTGTGCTTTTGTTATTTTGAAACACTTAAATCATTGTTACTAGTTGATCAGGATCAAATTGTATCTTTTTGTCTTGATTTGCAATTTTTAGGTCTTGAGTATAGTGGGAAATAGTTTTTCTCAGCAATATTGCTTACAATTTTTTAAATGAAATCATGAAAGTTTCATAGCTTCAGTGATTTTGATCCAGACTTTAAGGTGGATATATAGGAAAGGTCAGTTACGACACTAATGAAAAATAAATTAAAATTTTCAGTAGTGTTTTTTCCAATTAGTAGTTTTTCTATTTTCAGTCCATGATACTGTTCATTAGCTATTATTATTTTGAATCTCAGAAAAGTGTCTTAAAATTAACAACTACTATACATAACTCCCACTTAAGTTAAAATACAATCGTGTCTTATTTTTCCTGGAGGGCTGATTTATAAATCATATTATGATCACAGTAGGAATGGTTTCTCAAAACTAGAGGAAGACAGTGACAGTGACAGAGACAGAGACAGAGATAGGAAAAGAAGAGGAGGAGGAGGAGGAGGAGGAGGGGAGAGAGAGAGTGATCTCTAATCAGGTTGTCTTTTGGCTACCAATGGATCATGAAGTTATTTCTTCTGACTTGGGTTTTTATACAGTCAAGGTAATTTAGACTACACAAAGGCATGCCCTTGTAAGTTCTGGAGTCCAGCAGCCCTGATATTTCTGGCAAACACCCACCCACCACGGAAAACAGCAGCTCTTTGTACTGGGGAGCCCCGGGAGGGCTCCCCATTGTGTACTCTTCACTGACTGGTGACAGCGGCTCCTCCAGATGTGAAGTCCCACGGTGACTTCCCTGCCCTTCTTCCTAACCCTCTACTTACTCCTACTGCCTCTTCCATGTGCCTTTTCTTTTGTCCTGTTTATGATACAGAGAACTCACTATCTTTTCAAGGTCGTGGTTCCAGATCTTATTGCTGTGTTGTTTTGCTTAATGAGCATCCACAGCCCCACAGTAGAGAGTGTAGCGGCTGACACATAATCAGCCCTTGATAAATGTGTGTCGCATTGAACCATGTCTTGTATTGTCTCTGCTCCTGGGCATGGTTCTGTTTTTAATGATATGAGTCTGCAAAAACAAACTTCAGTTGTGTCCTGTGGTGCTGCTTGCCTGTATTTACCAAGATTAAGAGTTAGGAAACTTGCCTGTTTTGGTTCTTCTAACTTGTGTGCTTAGAGGAGTTTTATTGTTTTAAACTGTCCTACATTCTTTTCTTCTGTAAAGTGAGGTTAACCATTATGGTTCCAGTTACCCACTTTATGCAAAGGATTGCAATGAAGATAAAAATGAAACAAGAAATGTGGACTTCTTTTTGAAGAAAGGGTCTTTAAATTTGTGCTATGTTGTCGAGAGTATGTGTCATCACTGCACTTCTAGGAGTGTCTGT